CCTTATAAGGAAGACTTTGATCCAATTAGCTCTAGTAGTGATTTCCCTCTAGGTTGTTACACCAGGCTTGACTCCTGATAACTTGGTCCAACAGCCTGTTGCTTGTAGTGTCTCGCAGGTCCACATATCCACTACAGCCTGGTTGGTCCGGCACTTCTTGCAGAAAACTGTCTACTTTTTCTTGAAGCTATCCACCTTTGTCCCGGCAATATTTCTTACACCTGCTGGGAGGATTTTGAACAACCGAGTACCTCTGATGTTCATATTTCTGATGTTCCGTGATCATGCCGATGGCACTTCTACTCCTCACTGGCTCTATTTCGCATTTCCTGCCATATCGCTCACTCCAGTATGTTATTTTATTGTGTAAATTTAGAACCGGCCCTTCGAGTATCTTCCATGTATGATACCTCTCTCGTCTTCGTTCCATAGAGAACATTTTGAGAGTGTAGAGACGGTCCCAAAATGTTAGTGGCTTGATGTCAGAGAGTGTATCTCTCAAGATTCTCCCACAGCTGACTAGAATGGCTCATTGCAGTGCACAGTGCACCGACTTTGTGCACAAGGTCCTATTTCTGTTAACCCAGGATAGTGACCTGGCATGTTGGGTATCTCCAGAATGCCCACTTAACCAGGAACACTTTCATAATACGGAGGCCCCCGTATGTCCAGGCAGGAAGTAGATACAGGGAGTTAAGCATACTTGCCACCAAGGGTCAGTGGGTACATTGGCCGGTTCGGAGCGTGAGACAGAGGGGAGACGCCAGCAACTGACTGACCTCTGGGGTCAACCGGCGCGATGGAGAATAACAGCTATGACGTGGTCGTGACGTGTTCATGACGTCACCTCTCCTACTGATCATCGAACGGTCATTATGATTGGTTCCCGCTCATTTGCTGCAATGCTATTGGTCAAATTGTAACTCTTTTGTGCTGTGTGCCACGAGATGCTCGGCAGCCCTTGTAGAGTATTCACGTGAGGGAGACCTTACCCAGAGGACGTGTAGCTGTTCTGTCTATCGGCCAATAGACTGAACACCGTATATTCCTCACCGTCAAGTTAACTCAGCGTCTCTGTGATATACCACACACTCGCCCAGAATCATGAGTGTGAATATATTGTTCAGAAGCCTAAAGTGACAAATCTCCAGAGCGAAACAGACTGGTATCAGGTAACCCCTGGTGACAAACGTCGTTGTGTAGAAGAACTCCCAGAACCCCATCAACCAGGTATCCTCCCACGGTCTCGGGGAGCCGAGAGAAGGTCCTGGTGGACACTCACGAGAGTGGAGACTTGTGAGTCTTATAAATATCTTGGAGTCGAGGTTAATGATACAAATCTCGTCAGCAACCTGCGCAAAAAACTTGTTGAGCGTCTTAAACCTCTCAAAACTCTTGTTGGCAAAGGATTTGGCATTAACATAAAATATGCTCGTAGTTTTTATATTGCCTTTATACGATCTGTTGTTGATTATTATGCCTTGCATCTTCTTAATTTTTCTCCTAAACAATTACAAGGCCTAGATGTAGTACAGAATGATGCCATGCGCATCATCCTGGGTTGTCCTAGAACTGTCAGAATTGTTAACATGAGAAAGGAACTAAACTTACCTTCCATGTACGAAAGAATAGTTCTACTTAGTACTATGTTTTGTGCCAAAACTTTGAAAAATAATGGTCCCCCCAGCTCTATTCAAATTAAATTGAGATCCATTCTAAACAATTCTGACTGTTCCCTCAATCCGCCGCAAAAAGCTCCCTACAGTGTGTGGCTCAGTTGTTGTGCCTATGATCTTCTGAAACTGAATGTGTCTCTTAACCCTGATAAAACTATTCACTATATTCCCCCTTGGAAAGATGTGGAGGTCTCTCTGCATTATACTCCCATCAGTGTAAAACAAATGTAAAACACTGAAAATTTGAGATGTATAACATTAGAAGCTATTGACAGTCATCTGCAAATTCTCAAACCAACTGAATCTTACGCCTTTACTGATGGCTCTGTGCAGTTAGGCACTGGTAGAACAGGTTGTGCATGTGCAGTGTATAAAGGGAATGAAATGATCATGTCTAGTACACAGAGATTGAACAACTGGGCAAGCACGACACAGACCAAGCTATTGGGCATTTATCTAGCCACTGAGTACCTTAAGCTCAATGGTGGTGGAGGTATTTTCTGTGACTCTAAAAGTGCTCTGCAGTCCTTAAATAACCCATTACAATGTATGTCGGAAGTAGCTTGTAATATTAAATGGAATGGAATTTTTGCCAATGATAATAACTCTTGTATAAAAATTTGTGTGGATCCCATTCCATGTTGGAGTTGGAAAACATGACTTTGTAGATCGATTGGCCAATGAGGCTTGCAGGAAAGAAAACATTGATTATGACTTTGGACTATCTAATGCAATTATTAGAAACATACAAATTAAAGAAATTAATTCAGATTTAGAAGAACTAAGAAATGCCCAGAGACCTGAAAGCTGCAGTATTAAAAGCTATGACAAGTTCTGTAATAATAGGTATTTGTATGGTCAGCACAGTAACCGAACCAGGCAATGTGATGGAGTCATTGCTGTAATTCGCCTTGGCTATAGACACATCTGGCAGGTTAGTGAGGCTGAGCCACTACCAGAATACTCAGATTGTAAACTCTGTGATAAACCTTTAATGCATTCACTAGAACACTATATTGTTGAATGTGAAGCCGTAAAGGACTTTAGGCCTCCTGGCCTCTTGTACCACCAACTGTGTAACTATTTTATTGACTCAGGTGTTCTGGACGACATCCTAACAATTTATCCAAAATTTGCTTGTCCATTTTAAAGAATGAAGGACAATTTTTATTTATATTACTTCTAAGCTGCATCACTTATGAACCCATCCCTGCCCTTGTGTGGCAGTGCACAATAGAAAGTTGTTTTCACATATCCATACATTAAAACATTGATTGTAACCATGATATATATGTGCTTCAGCCTACAGTTTAGACCTATTGTCTTATGTATGACCCTCTGTCCTGCGTGACAGTGAATACCACCATTATCCTCACATTAATAAGACTTAATCGAAATCCTCAGATTAGGCAAAATTGTAATTCATTTTGTCAATAAAGATGTTAATAATAATAATACTCACGAGAAGGGCGAGGCGGGCCAGCCCACGACGAGGAGAGGGGTCCCTCGCCACCGTAGCCTCCACAGCAACTTGTGGTGGGCGCGCACGTCCAGGTCCCACAGCAACAGACACTGTCAACACACACCCCGTCAGTCACTGCCTCGCTCTACAGCCTCTTGATGTATTCATGTCCATCATATGTGTATATTATCACATGTACCTCTGGCAACATGCAGGTACACTGGGAGGACAGAAACTTACACTCATTACTCCCTTGTAGGTGTAGTCATCTGCTATCTCGTTCATCTTGATCCAGAGTACATGGTGGGTGCTCTGTAGAGAGTAGAGGGGTCCAGAGTACATGGTTAGTGCTCTATAAGGAGTAAAGGGGTCCAGAGTACATGGTGGGTGCTCTGTAGAGAGTAGAGGGGTCCAGAGTACATGGTTAGTGCTCTATAAGGAGTAAAGGGGCCAGAGTACATGGTGGGTGCTCTGTAGAGGGTAGAGGGGTCCAGAGTACATGGTTAGTGCTCTATAAGGAGTAGAGGGGTCCAGAGTACATGGTGGGTGCTCTGTAGAGGGTAGAGGGGTCCAGAGTACATGGTTAGTGCTCTATAAGGAGTAAAGGGGTCCAGAGTACATGGTGGGTGCTCTGTAGAGAGTAGAGGGGTCCAGAGTACATGGTTAGTGCTCTATAAGGAGTAAAGGGGTCCAGAGTACATGGTGGGTGCTCTGTAGAGAGTAGAGGGGGTCCAGAGTACATGGTGGGTGCTCTGTAGAGAGTAGAGGGGGTCCAGAGTACATGGTGGGTGCTCTGTAGAGAGTTTGGGGAATAGAGTTTGGGAGAGGTCAGTGAAGGAGGCTGAGGGCCACTGTGGGTCAGGGGAAGGGGGCTGAGGGCCACTGTGGGTCAGGGAAGGAGGCTGAGGGCCACTGTGGGTCAGGGAAGGGGGCTGAGGGCCACTGTGGGTCAGGGAAGGAGGCTGAGGGCCACTGTGGGTCAGGGAAGGAGGCTGAGGGCCACTGTGGGTCAGGGAAGGGGGCTGAGGGCCACTGTGGGTCAGGGGAAGGAGGCTGAGGGCCACTGTGGGTCAGGGAAGGAGGCTGAGGGCCACTGTGGGTCAGGGAAGGGGGCTGAGGGCCACTGTGCGTCAGGGGAAGGAGGCTGAGGGCCACTGTGGGTCAGGGAAGGAGGCTGAGGGCCATGTGGGTCAGGGAAGGAGGCTGAGGGCCACTGTGGGTCAAGAGAAGGAGGCTGAGGGCCACTGTGGGTCAGGGAAGGGGACTGAGGGCCACTGTGGGTCAAGGGAAGGGGGCTGAGGGCCACTGTGGGTCAGGGAAGGGGACTGAGGGCCACTGTGGGTCAAGGGAAGGGGGCTGAGGGCCACTGTGGGTCAGGGAAGGGGACTGAGGGCCACTGTGGGTCAAGGGAAGGGGGCTGAGGGCCACTGTGGGTCAGGGAAGGGGACTGAGGGCCACTGTGGGTCAAGGGAAGGGGGCTGAGGGCCACTGTGGGTCAGGGAAGGGGACTGAGGGCCACTGTGGGTCAAGGGAAGGGGACTGAGGGCCACGGTGGGTCAGGGAAGGGGACTGAGGGCCACTGTGGGTCAAGGGAAGGGGGCTGAGGGCCACTGTGGGTCAGGGAAGGGGACTGAGGGCCACTGTGGGTCAAGGGAAGGGGGCTGAGGGCCACTGTGGGTCAGGGAAGGGGACTGAGGGCCACTGTGGGTCAAGGGAAGGGGGCTGAGGGCCACTGTGGGTCAGGGAAGGGGACTGAGGGCCACTGTGGGTCAAGGGAAGGGGGCTGAGGGCCACTGTGGGTCAGGGAAGGGGACTGAGGGCCACTGTGGGTCAAGGGAAGGGGACTGAGGGCCACGGTGGGTCAGGGAAGGGGACTGAGGGCCACTGTGGGTCAAGGGAAGGGGGCTGAGGGCCACTGTGGGTCAGGGAAGGGGACTGAGGGCCACTGTGGGTCAAGGGAAGGGGGCTGAGGGCCACTGTGGGTCAGGGAAGGGGACTGAGGGCCACTGTGGGTCAAGGGAAGGGGGCTGAGGGCCACTGTGGGTCAGGGAAGGGGACTGAGGGCCACTGTGGGTCAAGGGAAGGGGGCTGAGGGCCACTGTGGGTCAGGGAAGGGGACTGAGGGCCACTGTGGGTCAAGGGAAGGGGACTGAGGGCCACGGTGGGTCAGGGAAGGGGACTGAGGGCCACTGTGGGTCAAGGGAAGGGGGCTGAGGGCCACTGTGGGTCAGGGAAGGGGACTGAGGACCACTGTGGGTCAAGGGAAGGGGGTTGAGATCCTGGGAGAGAGTATAAGTGTCCATTCATAAGCGAGTATTGGCTAGGAAAGGCGCTGAAAGGGAGTATAAAGGTAAAGGAAGGTCCTAAGAGGGAGAATAAGGGGTCAGGAATGGCACTAAGAGGAAGTAAAAGGTCAAGGGTAGACACTCCCGGCCAGACCTTCTGTAATGCCATTAATCAAACTTAAGAGTTTATATTCTTAACATTATGCAGACCTTTTCTTGTGCTCATCATGATGTGTTTCTCTACTGTAACACAAATGGATATGTATAAATTAGTCTCACTCTCTCTCTCTCTCAAAGCATGAGGCTGGCGGAAGCATTTAAGGGCATGAGTATGAATGAATGAGTAAAATAAGATGGTAAGATCAAATTGAAATTCAAATTTCAAATTCAAATTCAATTTTCAAATTTCAAATTCAAATTCAATTTTCAAATTTCAAATTCAAATTTCAAATTCAAATTTCAAATTCAAATTTCAAATTCAAATTCAAATTTCAAATTCAAATTCAAATTTCAAATTTAAATCTTACTAGTGTGGACCTACCTGTACCTTACTCATGAGTACGCATCATGACTGGTATATGTGTGTGAATTATGAAGTGAGTGTATTGGACCAGTAACTTCAGACTCGAGTTGATCTCCAGAGGCGAGGGTGAGAGTGAAGAACCCGAGTGAATGTGTTGTGAGACGCGAGAGTGAGAGTGAAGGGCCCGAGTGAACGTGTTGTGAGGCGCGAGAGTGAGAGTGAAGGGCCCGAGTGAATGTGTTGTGAGGCGCGAGGGTGAGAGTGAAGGGCCCGAGTGAACGTGTTGTGAGGCGCGAGAGTGAGAGTGAAGGGCCCAAGTGAGCGTACAGAGTTGCGGGGCAGCAGTTGCGTGCTGCAGGGGTTGGTGGCGCCACCGTCCAGGTGCCGCCCGCCGGCCAGCAGCTCCGTCAGCTGCAGGTCGTAGGCGGCGGGCTCCAGCCTGCAGGGGGAGAGACAGGACCTGTCAGTGGTGGTGTCCTGGGGGAGTGTTGAGGGTGTTCTGGGGATTATTCAACACTGGTGGTACGCGAACAAGGGGACACAGGTGGAAACTGAGTACCCAAATGAGCCACAGGAACGTTAGAAAGAACTTTTTCAGTGTCAGAGTAGTTAACAGGTGGAATGCATTAGGCAGTAATGTGGTGGAGGCTGACTGCATACACAGTTTCAAATGTAGATATGATAGAGCCCAGTAGGCTCAGGAACCTGTACACCAGTTGATTGACAGTTGAGAGGCGGGACCAAAGAGCCAGAGCTCAACTAAGTGAGTACACACACACACAGTTGGCAATTGGGGGGTCTTGTAGCTGAGTGGACAGCGCGTGGGACTCGTAATCTTGTGGCATGGGTTCGATTCCCGGTGCAGAGACAAATGGGCAAAATTTCTTTCACCCTGATGCCCTTGTTACCTAGTAGTAAATAGGTACCAGGGAGTTAGACAGCTGCTACGGGCTGCTTCCCGAGGGTGTGTGTGGGTGTAGGACATTTCCAACACCCAAATACTAACCCCTTAGTGCCATAATATAAATTTGTTGTATTAGGACTTCATATTTACTAACTTTACTAATACGTAGCCTCATACAGCCACATTCCTACTAATGTCAGGGACCAGTATTGGGTCAGTCGCCCGGCTTCCTCGAGAATAAATTATATATTTCCATAAAATGAATTACACCTAGTATAACCTTATAGAATTTATTAAGGAATATAGATTGGCGATAGATATATTTATTTAGCAAATTATACAGCCGTTTATTGGAAATAGTTTTATACAGCTGCGATCAGCTGATCCAATAAACAAAGTAATGAACTAAATTTCCCATGCGAATATATATTTTGCATCTAACGTCATTTAGGTTAAATGATTTGCACAGCGAGAAACAATCTGCTGTTACCTAATGTACGTTACTGTGACGCAAAATAACGTCAGTAATGTTTCCATCCATTCGGAAATTTGAATAAAATATTGCGAATAATTTACCAAGTTTCGACGACCCGGCGCTAGGTGGCGCGCACGTCACTGACTATAGAGACTTGGCAGAGAGACGCCATTATGTGGGGTGACCTGCAGCTGGTCATTATCATCGATCAAATTGAGGATCATCCGTGCAATAACGAACTTCAGATCGATTCGGCAGCTTCAATAGATTACGGACACTGCGTCCAGCAAGGCAGAGTACCACTGATTTGTTAAGTTGGCCATTATTAAATAATCATGTTGGTGTCTTGTCGTTACGCAGCTTGCAAATCTAATAACTCCCGTGAGTGTCATTCTTATTCCCAATTCACTTAGACTTCATGAGTAAATGTATAAACATATGCTCTTAAATGGAAATTACATGTGATTCATATTTCAGCGTGGAGTTAACTGCCAGAGAAACGTAATTCAGCCGGTAGAGTCACGTGACGCCAGAGATCACGGACTGGGACTGGATTAGACAGGTTATAAGACTGTTGGACGTAATCTTCGTTCAACATTGGCAGCTAAGCCTCTAATTGTTTCCATTCAGTAGTTAGTTTATTAATCCATGCAATAATTAATGTTTATGATCCATGAATATTATTCTCTATTATATGCAGACAAACATTATAGAATTTACCCCCCCCCCCTAAAAAAAAAAAAAGATGTGTATGGGAATCACTTCACTTTAAACACTTCTCTAAATTTATTTTTGAATTAATTATTAAATTTATTTTTTGAGATCCATAGATCACTGATTCTCCGAGCCCATGACAACTTTTATAGTCATCATAAATTGTTAATATTATTATATGTTAGAGTCAATTTCCCCACAGTACGCGTGAAAAAAATTTAGTAGTTGGTACAGTTGATTGATTGACAGTTGAGAGGCGGGCCGAAAGAGCTCACCCCCCCCCCCCCCCCCAGCAAGCACAACTAGGTGAATACACACACACACACGTACACCTCATTCACTGGAAGAGAGAAGAGTTAGTGGAGGATATGATCACCACATTCAAGATTCTCAAGGGAATTGATAGGGTAGATAAAGACAGGCTATTTAACACAAGGGGCACACGCACTAGGGGACACAGGTGGAAACTGTGTGCCCAAATGATCTACAGAGATATTAGAAAGAACTTTTTTAGTGTCAGAGTGGTTGACAAATGGAATGCATTAGGCAGTGATGTGGTGGAGACTGACTCCATACACAGTTTCAAGTGTAGATATGATGGAGCCCAATAGGCTCAGGAGTCTGTACACCTGTTGATTGACGGTTGAGAGGCGGGACCAAAGAGCCAGAGCTCAACCCCTGCAAGCACAACTAGGTGAGTACACACACGCACACACACTCCAGGCCGACACCTGAGAAGCAGAGCACATTACCCCAGGGGGGGGGGAAGCCCCTCTCACCTGTGGAGGTCCCTGAGAGTGACGTCTGGGGCGGTGTTGAGGGCGGTGTGGGCGTAGTAGTTGCTCTGGAAGTACGCTGTGAGGTGGGCGCCGGTGACGCCGAAGTGGAAGGTCCTGGAGACCTCGGGCACCAGGCACTCCCGCCCCTTCTGGTTCTCCGGCAGTCTCAGCCACATGTCCCAGTCCGCCAACTGTGGGCAGGGGTGCGGTGCTCTAGTTAGTAGGGGTGGAGCAGTGGGTCTAGGTCAGGGGTGAGGCAGTGGGTCGAGGGCAGGGGTGGGGAAGTGGGCCCTCATGCGACACTAATCTATACTATTTTGTGAAGGGAGTTATGTAGTATTTTGTCTAGAGTATAAAAACAATGGTTGTTGTGACGATAATCTCTTTCAAAAGAGATTGAGCCTGCTCTTCCCTACATAAAGTTACTTACACATATACAAGAATAAGATGCTACCTTCAAGATACGTCTACCAGTAGCATAAAACGTTTTGACTAGGAGGCAAAACGTACCCTAAACCCCCACCCACTCCACACTCCTTCCATGCCGGCTCGCCCGTCGTCAACCAACAAACTACCATTCCAGCCTGCCTGCTTCTGATTGGTGACCCGCCATCTGCACCTCTGCACCTCAGCGCCCTCTACCTAAGTCGATGTCTGGGCTTGAACCAGCCATTGAAGTCAGAATATCCTTGTGCTCTCAAGCTGTGAACAACCAACTGATACACGTCCTGTTTATTGGTGGAGGTTCCCAGCTAGCGCTATATTCTCAGCACCTGTTTATGTCATTTTGTCTTTATATTATTCCTAGAGTAATTTATCCCTGTTCTTAATTTTTATGACTTGTTTGTTTGCACTGTACATAGCCGAGGGATTCTCTTTGTTTTTAAATTTGCTTTCCAGTTAATTAAAGTTTCATTGTTCATACTATGTGTTTTGTGTGTCTTTCCTTACTCTACCACAGACAACAGCCAAGCAATCTCTTTTTTTTTTTTTGTAAATGTGACAGGCATTGACACCAGCCATTAGGAGGACTGCCGAACATCTACACTCCTACACTTTCGCGTCACATTGTAAATATGTGATCATCGAGGCGGTATATCCAATCCGTTCTCGCCAGTGTTCTCAACGTCAAGAAAATGTCGTACTAAAGTGCCTTATCCTAACCTACCTGAGAACCTACCAACAGAAAAAGAGACATATTGTTCATGTCGCGAGCCGCTACCATTTTCTAGTACTACAGTTTTTGGCCTTAGGCAGAGTATACGTCAAAATGCGACGTGCTATTACGAGGACAGGTTGTTTGTTAAGTGTCGGCTGCCTAACCTCAGGGAGGCGATATTCCTCCGCCCAGCAAAGTAGTACGCTTATATATTCGATGATTATGGATAACCAGTGGAATGTATATACACATTTTGTCAATGAAAATGGACTCCTTTATGTTAGCTTCTATAAAGTATTTTGAAATGGGAACAGTCATGGATTATTGAGTAATGATTGGACATGTGGTATTGAGGGGCGGAAGTGAGAGGACGTCCGTAGTGACTAGACCAGATAATGGCGGATAGACAGAGCTCTGCCAGACTCACATTTCAGAAGTTTCACCTCTCCAGACAGTCAGGTAAGCCACAACTCATATTCATTTAACTTGTAGAATATCATAATGGTGTTTGAGTGACTACAGAGTACTTATATATACAGAGAGTTCAGATTTCAGAATATATTTGTGTGACACTGATGATGATCTTGCCTGAAAGGTCATCATGTTGCTAGACTAAAGTGTCTATGTTGATCTATATATAAGTAATATTGTGAACATTCTGCCTATCTTGATAGCTCTGATTCTTGCATATTGATCAAGGTAGAAGAAGGATATGTGGCAGCCCCACCTGAGTAAATGTATTCACACTGAGTATATTAACTTGACTCACGTTCACACTGTGTTGATAACTTGAGGTGAGTGTGCTCACCTATTTGTACTTGCTGGGGTTGAGCTTTGGCTCTTTGGTCCCGCCTGTGACCAATCAGCCGCCACCTGGACTTCCTTCACACACTCAAACATCCGGGCCCTAATTACCGCTTGGTACAGTTGTCAAATTAATAAAGTTATGGTAGCTAATTGAAGCACCGTGGCGAGGATACGAAGCAGGTCCACCCACTTGTGAGTCGGGTGTACAACCACCACGCCAGTGAGCCACACCCACCTTGTCATAGGGTGGCCAGTTGGGCATGACATCCTCATATACCCTCCTGGAGAGGAGCCAGCCGAGGCCCGCCATGGTGTCCACCCGCAGCACGAGGGTCGGGTCGCCGCCGGCACCAGCCTGACTCATGTCGTTCCAGGCTGAGACGCAGTAGAGGCTCGGGTCCCGGTCCATCAGGGGGGCCGTCTGCGCGAAGTAACTGGGAAAGGGGAGAAAGATTGTCCAAGCTGTGTAAAGTGACATAAAACACTTAAGAACTTTGTCACACGAAGGTCATACTTAGCGAAGATTGGATAAGGCGGCGCGGTTTACAGCAGTAGAGTAATATGCTCTAAAGTACACCTTTATATTAGGGATTTTATTTAAACTTCTAAAAGAACTTACTTATGAATTTAACAACTTATGCAGAGAAGAAAACAGAAAGATCAATATTTTCTGAATCGAAGGGTAATTTTGCCTTTTTTTTACAATTCATTATAAAACTCTGCTTTCTCTTGGTAATTACCTCATCTTTCTTATAGCTGTAGACTCCTCTCATTGTTGAGTAGTGAGGCAGGCATGAGGAGGACGAGACACAGGAAGACACACTACACAAAGTTAGAGGAGCTCCTTGAGAAGTGAGAGAACTGTTCAAGCAGTGGCATGGGCGCCTGACAGCTGGGTGGACAGCGCTTCGGATTCGTAGTCCTGAAGTTCCGGGTTCGATCCCCGGTGGAGGCGGAGACAAATGGGCAAAATGTTTCTTTCACCCTGATGCCCCTGTTACCTAGCAGTAAATAGGTACCTGGGAGTTAGACAGCTGCTACGGGCTGCTTCTTGGGGGATGGGGGGTTGTAACAAAAAGGAGGCCTGGTCGAGGACCGGGCCGCGGGGACGCTAAGCCCCGAAATCATCTCAAGACAGGATTTACCTCCAGTAATTGAAAAATTAAGAAGATGAACGCCGCACTCTCAGTTCTCTCCTATAAAGAACGTCGTCTTTCGCACGTATGCGTCACATACGGCTAAAAATGATCGTACTAGAAAATGAAGGTGGCTGGCGAATGTGACGAACTGTCCCGTTTTCTGTTTTGGGTCCTCTGGTAGGTTGGGATGAGGCTGCCTTACACTGACCGTTTTCTTGACGTGGGGGAACCTGAGGAGGACTGAGTAAAGGAGTTGTGTGGCCGGAGGTGAGCCCCAGACACGGAGAAGCAAGGAACCACTACCAGGTGGCACTGAGCCAAGACGCTCAGTGCCACCTGGCGGACGCTCAGTGCCACACGGACTACCATCACACACTTGAACAAAGACTCGCCCGGGAAGTATGTAAACAAACATGGCCGATCACTGGGACAAGTGCGACATGAGCCTCGAGGCAATATTTTGTCAAACACACAATACAGCTGGAGAAAATCCGGATTCATTGCACTCGACTTGTCTCAGAGAAGAGAAGCTTGAGTTAGGAAAGACCAAAGAAATTATTCTAAACAACGCCAGAAAAGAGAGACGATACAAGAGGGGACATGATCACCACGTAAATAATACGCCAGACACTCACCTGTAGAAGTCGAGGGCGACGTAGAGGTCCTCCTCGAGGATGATGACCTTGTCCGCCCAGGGGAAGGTGGTGAAGGCGGCGTCCATGGTGACCTTGTAGTGACGGGTGATCCGCAGCGTCACGTCCCGCCCTCCAGCGTCGTGACCCATAAACTGTTGGTGACACCTGGGAGAGTGAGGGGACAGCTGGGAGAGTGAGGGGACACCTGGGAGAGTTAGGGGGACAGCTGGGAGAGTGTTGGGACACCTGGGAGAGTGTTGGGACACCTGGGAGAGTGAGGGGACAGCTGGGAGAGTGAGGGGACACCTGGGAGAGTGAGGGGACACCTGGGAGAGTGAGGGGACACCTGGGAGAGTGAGGGGACACCTGGGAGAGTGAGGGGGACACCTGAGAGAGTGAGGGGACACCTGGGAGAGTGAGGGGACACCTGGGAGAGTGAGAGGACACCTGGGAGAGTGAGGGGACAGCTGGGAGAGTGAGGGGACACCTGGGAGAGTGAGGGGGACAGCTGGGAGAGTGTTGGGACACCTGGGAGAGTGAGGGGACAGCTGGGAGAGTGAGGGGACACCTGGGAGAGTGAGGGGACACCTGGGAGAGTGAAGGGACAGCTGAAAGAGTGAGGGGACACCTGGGAGAGTGAGGGGGACACCTGGGAGAGTGAGGGGACACCTGGGAGAGTGAGGGGACACCTGGGAGAGTGAGAGGACAGCTGGGAGAGTGAGGGGACACCTGGGAGAGTGAGGGGACACCTGGGAGAGTGAAGGGACAGCTGAAAGAGTGAGGGGACACCTGGGAGAGTGAGGGGACAGCTGGGAGAGTGAGGGGACACCTGGGAGAGTGAGGGGACACCTGGGAGAGTGAGGGGGACACCTGGGAGAGTGAGGGGACACCTGGGAGAGTGAGGGGACACCTGGGAGAGTGAGGGGACACCTGGGAGAGTGAGGGGACACCTGGGAGAGTGAGGGGACACCTGGGAGAGTGAAGGGACAGCTGAAAGAGTGAGGGGACACCTGGGAGAGTGAGGGGACAGCTGAGAGAGTGAGGGGACAGCTGGGAGAGTGAGGGGACAGCTGGGAGAGTGAGGGGACAGCTGGGAGAGTGAGGGGGACAGCTGGGAGAGTGAGGGGACAGCTGGGAGAGTGAGGGGGACAGCTGGGAGAGTGAGGGGACAGCTGAGAGAGTGAGGGGACAGCTGGGAGAGTGAGGGGACAGCTGGGAGAGTGAGGGCACAGCTGGGAGAGTGAGGGGGACAGCTGGGAGAGTGAGGGGACAGCTGGGAGAGTGAGGGGGACAGCTGGGAGAGTGAGGGGACAGCTGGGAGAGTGAGGGGACCGCTGGGAGAGTGAGAGGACACCTGGGAGAGTGAGGGGACAGCTGGGAGAGTGAGGGGACCGCTGGGAGAGTGATGGGACCGCTGGGAGAGTAAAGGGACAGCTGGGAGAGTGAGGGGACCGCTGGGAGAGTGAGGGGACAGCTGGGAGAGTGAGGGGGCAGCTGGGAGAGTGAGGGGACACCTGGGAGAGTGAGGGGACCGCTGGGAGAGTGAGAGGACACCTGGGAGAGTGAGGGGACAGTTGGGAGAGTGGGGGGACAGCTGGGAGAGTGAGGGGACCGCTGGGAGAGTGAGGGGACCGCTGGAAGAGTGAGAGGACACCTGGAAGAGTGAGGGGACACCTGGGAGAGTGAGGGGACACCTGGGAGAGTGAGGGGACAGCTGGGAGAGTGTTGGGACACCTGGGAGAGTGAGGGGACAGCTGGGAGAGTGTTGGGACACCTGGGAGAGTGAGGGGACAGCTGGGAGAGTGAGGGGACAGCTGGGAGAGTGAGGGGACAGCTGGGAGAGTGAGGGGACAGCTGGGAGAGTGAGGGGACAGCTGGGAGAGTGAGGGGACAGCTGGGAGAGTGAGGGGACAGCTGGGAGAGTGAGGGGACAGCTGGGAGAGTGAGGGGACAGCTGGGAGAGTGAGGGGACAGCTGGGAGAGTGAGGGGACAGCTGGGAGAGTGAGGGGACAGCTGGGAGAGTGAGAAAGCACATACTTATTAGCACGTGTCAGGTATTGTCAGCCCGTGTCAGGTGTTGTCAGCCCGTGTCAGGTATGTTGTCAGCCCGTGTCAGGTATGTTGTCAGCCCGTGTCAGGTGTTGTCAGTCCGTGTCAGGTGTTGTCAGCCCGTGTCAGGTGTTGTCAGCCCGTGTCAGGTGTTGTCAGCCCGTGTCAGGTGTTGTCAGCCCGTGTCAGGTATGTTGTCAGCCCGTGTCAGGTATGTTGTCAGCCCGTGTCAGGTATGTTGTCAGCCCATGTAAGGTAAACTAACAGGTGTTTATGGTAATTACACCAGAATGGGACATTGTATCGAAGCTGACAGCCAATTAAGATGTCAGCAACTGTCAGGAGAGGATAGTTACAAGGTAATTCAGACACCATAGACGGTTTGAAAATCAAACCTGACCAATGAGGTGAGCACTAGAGACCCAGACCAATCAGAGTACACCGCTGGGTGGCATTAACCAATCAGATGGTCCAAGGGGCAAGAGACCAAATTTCCGGGGGGGGGGGGGTGTAAGTGACGAATTAAATGAATTCATTATTAATAAAAAATGAAGGACTCCTATTGGAGAGTTTGCTGACTCTCTAACAGTGTGGCGGTGGTCTGTATGGTGGTGAGGTGACCCCCAAATTGGGGTCACATAGGGGTCATACTCACAAATACAGAATTCTTAACTTGTTAAGAATGATGTAATTTGAGGTTACATTCTGTAAGGTCACAGCAAGAGGTCAAGCCTCAAGGGGTCAGTTTAAATACCGCAGCGGGACTCTTCTGAGGAGTAATTGGTCAGTTGAGGGAGCGAGAGGTTAGGAGTGGTTGTTGAGGTCAAGCAGGAGCAGTGAGGTCACCCAGTGGTGAGAGTTGTCTCTCTCTCTGTTACGGACCCGAGCCCAGCGTCCGAGCACGGAGCAGTGACGACCACGCCATCTGTGGGTCAGCTCCCGAAACCCCCTCCAAATGGACGGCGCCATCAAGTGAGGACAGGAAATACCAGCCACAAGGGCTAGTTTCCCGTCCTGATCAGCTCACAACACAGCCGCTGCTGACCTCTGGTGAGGTGACGCTTAGACAGCAACGCCATCTATGGAATGGATAGGCGGGCGTTTGTGTCTAAGCCTGTAAGTAAGGTGCCCTAGTGTGTCCCTATTACTGATGACGTGTCTGATTACAGAGTCGACTTGGGACTGCTGTAATGGAAGTTGGATCAGTCTACCCAAGGCAGCCGTCTTGTCTCCAAGTATTTGCTGCAGCAGCTGTGAGTCGCCCCCCCCCCCCCCCCCGGATGAACACTGTGGTGTTAGCCTGCCTGTGACGTGGCAGCTGAGGGATTGTTATACCCGGGACTGACTGGTGGAGACGCTTAACCACTGGGGTGTTGTAGTGAGGAGAGTGACCTGTGGGATCACACGAGGCTCCTGACTAGGGCTCGCTACCCTAGTATCGGTCGTGGAGTGGCCTAACCAGCGTTGCTGATTGGAACCTGCCAGCTACAGGCTGGATTTGTGGTTGAAGGCCTCCACGACGGTGCCCCCAGTGGAACTGTGATTTGGCTGGCCTGTGGCCAGGGTAGACTCAAGAGAATCGAAGGATTCGTCGTGAGGCCACAAGAATACCAAGACTTTAGCATCGACGAGCACCGTGGAACACTCCGCGTCTTCAGAAGAAGACTACGTTGTACATTCTAGTGTTTATACCCCCCCCCCCCCCGTGTAATCTTTTAAATAGTATTTATGGTGATGGTGACAATTATATTATTAAGTTTTTGCCTTTGTCTCCCTTCCCCTTTAATTTACTTGCGTTACGGATCACATCCCTTGAAAGCTACTACTAGCCTGGGGCCGGATACCCTACCTCTAACAACATCAGAGAAAGAACCCGGTTGCGACCCGAGAGAGCCGTAACACTCTCTCTCAGTAACACACTGGTAAGGATCAACCAGTCGCAAAGGTTTGATGATATTCTGGATCATCAGAATATACGAGATATAAGAATTTTGCACCAAGAATGAAACCTTTGGTTGATTTGTCTGAATGTCTATCGCAAATTGCCAATATATTCCTGGTCATAAAAGTATGTATGTTATGTATATGTCTGGTAACATACTGCATGTGTAAAGGAAGAAATGTCTATGTTTATCACTCAGAATGGTCGGCAATATGTTTATTGTTTGTGATGTGTGTCTGTATATGTATGAACCCGTTGTACTGAACGGGGTGAGAATACCTTGAGCTGCCTCATCCCTTTGTGTGTATTTGATCTCAATAAACTTATTGCAATTTCAATTCAATTTCAGCCAAGGCAATAAATCTGACCTTCATTCCATAAAGGTTGACCAAGGCAGCGACCTCTCGCAGGCCACCGTCAGGATGGCCGTCAGCCACCACCAGCGTCAGCCCAGGGTCGCTGCCAGCCACAGACATCAGTCGACGCAGGCACCTGTAACAAGGCAACTACAACAGCCTTCCTTAAATGACTGGCTCTTAACGAGCACTGTCTAGCTCAAGACAGACAGCAGGGCTCCCTGTGAAAGTAGACAGAAGTACTTACAGTGGTTAGTAACTACTGACCAGTGTAACAAGTGTTTCCCTATACCAGAGAGGAAATGCCGACTGCTATGAAGGCCATTAATCACTTAACACAATATCTTCTTGAGGTAAACAATGGGAGGTTATGTTTGCGGCAGAGAAGGTACAGTCGGTGATCATAACTAGACTGCATCATGTAGACCACTCCTGTGCCAGGTAAGTCCACTACGGGCTCACCATAGCCCGTGCTACTTTTAACTTTTGGTTCCCAGTAGCTGAGGCTAAAACACCACCAACAGACGTTGTAACCATTCAAACTCTGCACTTGATAATGTTAACAAGAGTTAACGGAAGGCGCCTCTTAGCGTCAGGCTAAATACAATAATAAAATGAGTTTTGGAGGATTAATTTTTCAACTTCCTTCTCAAATGAAGAAAAACAAAAGAAAAATAGAGAAGATTTGCGCTAGAATCATTGATCTCACACAGTACACATACAGTATATGTAATGTGTGAGAGAGGAGGAAGAGGACCTTCACACAGCACACACATACAGTATATGTAATGTGTGAGAGAGGAGGAAGAGGACCTTCACACAGCACACACATACAGTATATATAATGTAAGAGAGAAGAGGAAGATGTGTAGAGAGGAGATACAGACCTGTCCAGCAGTAGAGGCCTGACGCTGGCCACCACCACGGTGGGGATGACGCCGACCCCCGCCGCCTCCCTCACCTGCTCGGCCCGTCAAGGAAATCCATTCAATAAACTTCATTTCATGATAAACATTTCATAATAACATTAATCATTAAAGGTGTTCGTAGTGATCACTACAGCGACGGAATCCATAGATGTTTACACTGTGGTGTCTAGAGTTTAAGGGGCTTTTCATAATAACATTAATCATTAAAGGTGTTCGTAGTGATCACTACAGCGACGGAATCCGTACATGTTTACACTGTGGGTGTCTAGAGTTTAAGGGGCTAATAAGTTGAGACCATTACTTAGGGACATTACGGGAGAAGGGAGTGTGGTGGGGAGCTCTCACCTGTGTGGGCGTGGGTGGGAGAGGGCGGGGATGGTGACAGCTGCACAGGTCACCGTAGCCCTCATAACTGTGACAGAAGCGACGCCTGGCCGCCCACGTCCCGCCCCGCGGCCACACGCCCTCACACCCACTCCCTGTGGCCGCCCCACCCACACAACACATACTTAAGCAACAACTGTCAACAGATAACACGTGTTATAGAACAGTATAACAATTGAACATTTCTCTATCATTTATGTGCATAAAGAACATACACGCAGACGATGGCCTATACACACCTGTGAAGGGGGCGGTGGGCAGGTGTGCGTGCAGGTGTAGAGGGCCGCCCTGATACACAAACCTGGGGTTCCTGGTGGAGAACACCGCCCCCTCCGCCCACGTCCGCCCCCCCTTGGTCCACACCCACGCCCACCTGCAGTATCTTCACACTCGCATCTGGTCTACCTGGGTACTGGGCGACCCGGGCACCGCCGGCTTCACACTTTTTTGTTATATATATATATATATATATATATATATATATATATATATATATATATATATATATATATATATATATATATATGGTGGCACTATATACTAGGGGATACAATATATAGTGTATATATACTACAAGCGTGAGGGCCCGCCAGCTCTACCACTGTACCATGAGACTAGACACAGTAGGAAGTAATAACAGACTAGCCTCATAGTGTACAGTGATAGGAGCTTCTGCCTCACACTGCTGGGGTTGGCGGTTCGAGTTCCCTAGTGCCTAAGTGAGTGTATACATATACACATACATATATACATACATATAAACATAAAAATATACATACAGATTCATATCGTGAGATGATCACAGATGCTATAACGTGTAAGTTCGAGCCACGCCTTAACTTATTAACTAAGAGACAGGTGAGAGTAACACACCTGTCACCGACGGTGCCATCTGTGACGACCTTTGACCCCAGGTGTGCCAGCAGGTGCACAACTGCTTCTGACAAGCCTGCGAACCCGTCGTGCTGACCCACACACAACAACAACAACACATTTTATTACCAGGTAAAGAAACAATAATGATTAACACTTATTAAATAAACAAATAGAATGGACTCAAAGATGAAGTGTATGGACACACGGGGGTCAAGGGGTCATGATAAACACATGGGGTCAGTGGGGTCATGATAAACACACGGGGTCAGTGGGGTCATGATAAACACACGGGGTCAGTGGGGTCATGATAAACACACGGGGTCAGTGGGGTCATGATAAACACACGGGGTCAGTGGGGTCATGATAAACACACGGGGTCAGTGGGGTCATGATAAACACATGGGGTCAGTGGGGTCATGATAAACACATGGGGTCAGTGGGGTCATGATAAACATATGGGGTCAGTGGGGTCATGATAAACATATGGGGTCAGTGGGGTCATGATAAACACACGGGGTCAAGGGGGTCATGATAAACACATGTGGTCAGTGGGGTTATGATAAACACATGGGGTCAGTGGGGTCATGATAAACACATGGGGTCAGTGGGGTCATGATAAACACATGGGGTCAGTGGGGTCATGATAAACACATGGGGTCAGTGGGGTCATGATAAACACACGGGGTCAAGGGGGTCATGATAAACACATGTGGTCAGTGGGGTCATGATAAACACATGGGGTCAGTGGGGTCATGATAAACACACGGGGTCAAGGGGGTCATGATAAACACATGGGGTCAGTGGGGTCATGATAAACACATGGGGTCAGTGGGGTCATGATAAACACATGGGGTCAGTGGGGCCATGATAAACACACGGGGTCAAGGGGGTCATGATAAACACATGTGGTCAGTGGGGTCATGATAAACACATGGGGTCAGTGGGGTCATGATAAACACACGGGGTCAAGGGGGTCATGATAAACACATGTGGTCAGTGGGGTCATGATAAACACACGGGGTCAAGGGGGTAATGATAAACACATGTGGTCAAGGGGGTCATGATAAATAAACACATGGGGTCAAGATAAACACACGGGGTCAAGGGGGTCATGATAAACACGTGGGGTCAAGATAAACACACGGGGTCAAGGGGGTCATGATAAACACATGGGGTCAAGATAAACACATGGGGTCAAGGGGGTCATGATAAACACATGTGGTCAAGGGGGTCATGATAAACACATGGGTCAAGATAAACACACGGGGTCAAGGGGGTCATGATAAACACATGGGGTCAAGATAAACACATGGGGTCAAGGGGGTCATGATAAACACATGTGGTCAAGGGGGTCATGATAAACACATGGGGTCAAGATAAACACACGGGGTCAAGGGGGTCATGATAAACACATGGGGTCAAGATAAACACACGGGGTCAAGGGGGTCATGATAAACACATGGGGTCAAGATAAACACATGGGGTCAAGGGGGTCAAGATAAACACACGGGGTCAAGGGGGTCATGATAAACACATGGGGTCAAGATAAACACACGGGGTCAAGGGGGTCATGATAAACACATGGGGTCAAGATAAACACACGGGGTCAAGGGGGTCATGATAAACACATGGGGTCAAGATAAACACATGGGGTCAAGGGGGTCAAGATAAACACACGGGGTCAAGGGGGTCATGATAAACACATGGGGTCAAGATAAACACATGGGGTCAAGGGGTCATGATAAACACATGGGGTCAAGGGGGTCATGATAAACACATGGGGTCAAGATAAACACACGGGGTCAAGTGGGTCATGATAAACACATGGGGTCAAGGGGGTCATGATAAACACATGGGGTCAGTGGGGTCATGATAAACACACGGGGTCAAGGGGGGTCATGATAAACACACGGGGTCAAGGGGGGTCATGATAAACACGGGGTCAAGGGGGGTCATGATAAACACACGGGGTCAAGGGGGTCATGATAAACACACGGGGTCAAGGGGGGTCATGATAAACACACGGGGTCAAGGGGGTCATGATAAACACACGGGGTCAAGGGGGGTCATGATAAACACACGGGGTCAAGGGGGTCATGATAAACACACGGGGTCAAGGGGGTCATGATAAACACACGGGGTCAAGGGGGGTCATGATAAACACACGGGGTCAAGGGGGTCATGATAAACACATGGGGTCAAGGGGGTCATGATAAACACATGGGGTCAAGGGGGTCATGATAAACACACGGGGTCAAGGGGGGTCATGATAAACACACGGGGTCATGATAAACACATGGGGTCAAGGGGGGTCATGATAAACTCATGGGGTCAAGGGGTCATGATAAACACACGGGGTCATGATAAACACATAGGGTCAAGGGGTCATGATAAACACATGGGGTCAAGGGGGTCATAATAAACACATGGGGTCATGATAAACACATGGGGTCAAGGGGGTCATGATAAACACATGGGGTCAAGTGGGGTCATGATAAACACATGGGGTAAAGGGGTCATAATAAACACATGGGGTCAAGGGGGTCATGATAAACACATGGGGTCAAGGGGGTCATAATAAACACATGGGGTCATGATAAACACATGGGGTCAAGGGGGTCATGATAAACACATGGGGTCAAGGGGGGTCATGATAAACACATGGGGTCAAGGGGTCATGATAAACACATGGGGTCAAGGGGTCATGATAAACACATGGGGTCAAGGGGGTCATGATAAACACATGGGGTCAAGGGGGTCATGAGAAACACATGGGGTCAAGGGGGTCATGATAAACACATGGGGTCAAGGGGGGGTCATGATAAACACATGGGGTCAAGGGGGTCATGATAAACACACGGGGTCAAGGGGGGTCATGATAAACACGGGGTCAAGGGGGGTCATGATAAACACACGGGGTCAAGGGGGTCATGATAAACACACGGGGTCAAGGGGGGTCATGATAAACACACGGGGTCAAGGGGGTCATGATAAACACACGGGGTCAAGGGGGGTCATGATAAACACACGGGGTCAAGGGGGTCATGATAAACACACGGGGTCAAGGGGGTCATGATAAACACACGGGGTCAAGGGGGGTCATGATAAACACACGGGGTCAAGGGGGTCATGATAAACACATGGGGTCAAGGGGGTCATGATAAACACATGGGGTCAAGGGGGTCATGATAAACACACGGGGTCAAGGGGGGTCATGATAAACACACGGGGTCATGATAAACACATGGGGTCAAGGGGGGTCATGATAAACTCATGGGGTCAAGGGGTCATGATAAACACACGGTGTCATGATAAACACATAGGGTCAAGGGGGTCATGATAAACACATGGGGTCAAGGGGGTCATAATAAACACATGGGGTCATGATAAACACATGGGGTCAAGGGGGTCATGATAAACACATGGGGTCAAGTGGGGTCATGATAAACACATGGGGTCAAGGGGTCATGATAAACACATGGGGTCAAGGGGGTCATGATAAACACATGTGGTCAAGGGGGTCATAATAAACACATGGGGTCATGATAAACACATGGGGTCAAGGGGGTCATGATAAACACATGGGGTCAAGGGGGGTCATGATAAACACATGGGGTCAAGGGGTCATGATAAACACATGGGGTCAAGGGGTCATGATAAACACATGGGGTCAAGGGGGTCATGATAAACACATGGGGTCAAGGGGGTCATGAGAAACACATGGGGTCAAGGGGGTCATGATAAACACATGGGGTCAAGGGGGGTCATGATAAACACATGGGGTCAAGGGGGTCATGATAAACACATGGGGTCAAGGGGGTCATGATAAACACATGGGGTCAAGGGGGTCATGATAAACACTACATAGGTGTAAACACCTATGTAGTGTTTACTATGTAGGTCTTGATAGATAGGTATATGATATGGACGTAGACGCCCTGCAAGACTCACCATGGCAGCCACCACCACTATCCGGCCTGGCTGGACGCCCTCCAAGACTCACCATGGCAGCCACCACCACTATCCGGCCTGGCTGGACGCCCTCCAAGACTCACCATGGCACCCACCACCACTATCCGGCCTGGCTGGACGCCCTCCAAGACTCACCATGGCACCCACCACCACTATCCGGCCTGGCTGGACGCCCTCCAAGACTCACCATGGCAGCCACCACCACTATCCGGCCTGGCTGGACGCCCTCCAAGACTCACCATGGCACCCACCACCACTATCCGGCCTGGCTGGATGCCCTCCAAGACTCACCATGGCAGCCACCACCACTATCCGACCTGGCTGGACGCCCTCCAAGACTCACCATGGCAGCCCCCACCACTATCCGGCCTGGCTGGACGCCCTCCAAGACTCACCATGGCAGCCACCACCACTATCCGGCCTGGCTGGACGCCCTCCAAGACTCGCCTCAGCTCCTGGTCAGCGGAGTCCTCAAAAGTCCTGTGTCTAGAGTAGTGGAGGAGGGAGGCGGTGGCCGGGTGGAGCACCGTCAGGTACACTCCGCCCTTCCTCATCATCCTCACCTCTGACTCAACCATGGTCTCCACCGCCACCTGGTGACCAAGACAACTCATCAACCAGCCACACCAACTACACAAGCCACACCAACAACCTGCTCTTTGCGATTGTGTTTTATATTGTATTTAATATTAATTATTATTTAATTCGTAATTTGTTATATTGATCTTCATTGTTGCATTATAATTCATTAATAGTTATATTATATTGTTATATTAATATTCTTTCATTCCTCAACTTGGGTAAATCTGGTAAATATCACATGTACTTATATACAGAAATTGTCCAGAGTTATCATCGCAAATAATAAATGATAATATTTGTTGTTGAAAGTAGAGTAGGGTAAATTAGGACTACGACCATCCACAAGCACTTGGGCAGGAGGACAGGTGGTCCACCGGAAGCCCAGGAGGTGCGGGGCGAGCCGTCTTAGTTGTGTGAGTGGTGCCCTGTGTGGTCGTTCGTAGTCCTATTGTGGGTAAGTGTTAGGTTAGATTAGGGTAAAGGTGTTCGTGGACGGGGTGAGAAGGGCATCATGCGCGCACCATCTGTACACACTCTTCCGGACGCTCTCTGTTCATGAACACCTTTACCCAACCTAACCTAACACGTATTATCCACATTAGGACTACGAACGGCCGCTTGGATCACTGCTCAGACTGCTGAGACAGCTAACCCCGCACCTCCTGGGCTTCCAGTTGACCACCTGTCCACCTGCCCAGGTGCTCACAGACTGTCATAGTCCTAATTTACCCTACTGTTGAATACGCTGGTGTGTGTGTGTGTGTGTGACATCACACATCTCTCAATAACCTTACCTGTTTCCCATTAACCATGATCAGGAGCTTCCACTTGCTGACACTAACGTCAATATCAATACCGCTCTGGAGTGTCTCTCCCTCGGCCTCACCGGACTCCTCGCTCTCCTCCAGCTTCTCTCCTGCAGTCTTCACCCCCACGTGGGGACGAGTGCCATCGTCAACGCTGGTGTCTGGTGTCGTCACAGTGACCCCTGCTGGAGCACTCCTCGCTGAGGTCAGGTCCATTGGTCCATCATCTTCCTGAGCCAGAGAGAACACCAGCTGGCTCCCCTCACTCTGTGTAAAGGTCTGCTCCAGCAGGTGCGCATGTTGTCTGTCCTCCTGCAGGTGAGCATGCGCTCTGATGTCCAGCTGAGGCATGTCCTCTAAGACTCAGAGAGACAGATGATGACATTAGTGTCCAGCAACTCAGTAGCTTCAAATAAAAATAATTATTAATATTATTTGTAATGTAAAAAAATACACAAACGATATGTGTGACTTCAAAATACAAGAAACCAATTTGTTTATTTAATGCTGGTCCCAGAAGGATTGAGTTCTTCAGAACATGATTGTTCTCCCTTCCCCTGTGAATGTAACACCCAAAACATAAGTATAGTAGAGAATGTGTAAATACAAAATCACCCAGATAGTGTTGGTAGATGTGTCTACTAAATATCTTGTAAGATTTGTTATATAGTTTCCATCACCTGCAGGATTTTGACCGTCCGATGGACTGAACTTTGTCACTCACCTGTTTGCCTCAGCCATCATGCAAACAAGAGAATGACAGGATACAGTGAACCTATATATGAGGTGCTTCTTCACCTTCACCTCATCCTCAGGTACATATCATGCAGGAAGACAATTTGTAATCATTCCTGCTCTCTTTCTGTCGAACATAATGTCCTTGTTGACATGTCTACAGCATACACCTGCAGGTACCTGATACTGAGTGTTTGCTGCAGCTTAAAGATACTTTCAAGCGAAGTCTTCTGTTATGTTTCACTTATGAGATGGAGAGTGAAGGTAAGTTGCCTTTCCCACATGTAACAGTCTCGAAATAGAACAGTGGCTGTCACAGTGCGGTCTACACTAAAGAACCTAAGATTGGAATGTGCCTTAGTGCTAGTAGACGAGTGCCTTGACAGGTAGAAGCAGAGTGTTGTCAATCCCTACATCAACCGCGCCCTCACACACAGCTCCAGTTGGCCGCAGGTTGATGAGGTCCTGGTCAATAATGGCTACTCTAACGTATATGTCCAAGAGATAATTAAAAGGAAGGTGAGCAATACTGCCTCTGATGACACATTCAACAATACATTATCTGTCTGTGTTATTAATATATTCTTCAGGAATTTCTTTTCCGTGGCTCACAAAAACGAGGTAGAGAGTCTCTTGAAAGATATCATTGATAAAAACGTGAACGAGTTAATAATATACTATACGACCACCAAGACTCGACTTGCTCATGGAAAACTTTCCCGTTACCAACCAAAACGTCTTGAAAGATATGATTTCATCTATGCCTTCACTTGCCCACTTAGGGACTGTCAGCCCCAATGATGGCACAATATACCATAACAACATATCTCTCTAGGCACCTGACAATACACAAACAGCTAGGGTCCATCAAGGAACATATAGTCTCTACACACAGCCAGACCATCACCGGAGATATCCTGACAAACAACACTGAAATAATCGACAGGTACATCGATCAAAGAAGATTAGACATAAACGAAGCACTACACATCAAACACACTCAGCCAACAACCGCTAGCTAACATAGTTAACTTACAAAGGGCTCATTGGCCCATGCCACACTTCACCTCACTCTCAGTTACATAGTTGTTTGTTCCAACTAGACCCATGACACCACTGGATACCTTTTCTAAATTGTCTGTCTTCAATGTTAGAGGACAGACGCCTGGGAGCTAGCCTCGTTATCTTTGCCGGATGAAGGGTAGGTGCAATGGGGCGGTCATATGGGGATCGGGTTATGCCCCAATGCCCATTTGGAGGGGTTGGCCCAAATGCCATCCTTGAGAAATTTATGGGAGATAAAATATTCGACGCCAAGTCCATAGAGTTTTGCACTTGCATTTGATTGATTTAATAAATTCCATCGTCACTAATCTTCATCCAGCATATTATTTTCAACATGATAATTAGGTGTTGGGAGCCTCCAGAATCTTTACTCTGCCTAGATGGGGTATGTGTCGCTGCCCAGGTAGTGAAGATGGCAACAGTGATAAAAACAGCATGTAGTGTTGACTATTACAGTGATGCAGGTTGTGTGTAGTGAAAGATAGTGCCAGTGATGAAGGAAGCGTGTAGTGTAGATGTTGCCTCTGTTTTTCCCCCGAGTAGCGCTGGGTACCCCGCCTGGCTTCTAGGTCTATAAGAGAGTATTAAGTGTTTGTGTGTCAGTTTATAAAAGGTCAAAAGGTCATACACACTGGGGCCTAGCCTCACCTAACTTTGTAGGGTGACTGGTGAGGGGGAAGAGGGCGTGAACCATCATAGGCAGTTTGAAGTCTGCCCCATTCCTCCCATAAAAGGGGGTTCGAGGATGTTACATATTAGCAGCTATCATATGTAAGTGATGAACAGTCACCTGCTCTGCTACTCACCTGGTGTATACAGGTGGTTGAGCCTGTAGAGTAAGAGGGAAAGGACCAGCAGGTAGACGACGCCCACGCCCACGGCCGCCCACGCCCACTGCAGCGCCCATGGTCCACAGCAACACACACACACACGCCCAGGGAGAGGAAGACAGCTCCAGGTTAGCTGAGTGTGGTCCGCTCTCAGGTGTTGTTCCCCAGTGGTTACTGTGAGGTAGTTCCCCTGTACCTCCTGCTGGCCTCCAGCCTCCCCTGTACCTCCTGCTGGCCTCCAGCCTCCCCTGTACCTCCTGCTGGCCTCCAGCCTCCCCTGCTGGCCTCCAGCCTCCCCTGCTGGCCTCCAGCCTCCCCTGCTGGCCTCCAGCCTCCCCTGCTGGCCTCCAGCCTCCCCTGCTGGCCTCCAGCCTCCCCTGCTGGCCTCCAGCCTCCCCTGCTGGCCTCTAGCCTCCCCTGCTGGCCTCCATGCAGCCTCTCCTGCCCGTTGTCTTCACCTCACACCTTCACATTACACCCGCTGGTGTGTGTGTGTGTACTCACCTAGTTGTGCTCGCGGGGGTTGAGCTCTGGCTCTTTGGTCCCGCCTCTCAACCGTCAATCAACTGGTGTACAGGTTCCTGAGCCTACTGGGCTCTATCATATCTACACTTGAAACTGTGTATGGAGTCAGCCTCCACCACATCACTGCCTAATGCATTCCATTTGTCAACTACACTTACATTAAAAAAGTTCTTTCTAACGTCTCTGTGGCTCATTTGGGCACAATTTCCACCTGTATCTCCCTAGTGCATGTGCCCCTTGTGTTAAATAACCTGTCTTTATCTACCCTATCAATTCCTCTGAGAATCTTGTAAGAGGTGATCATGTCCCCCCCTAACTCTCCCGTCTTCCAGCGACGCAAGGTTTAATTTCCGTAGTCTCTTCTCGTAGTTCATGCCCCTCAGTTCAGGTACTAGTCTGGTGACATACTTCTGAACCATCTCCAATTTGTCTTATGCTTGGCGAAATATAGACTCCATGCTGGAGCTGCATACTCCAGGATTGGTCTGACGTACGTAGTATACAAGGTTCTGAATTATTCCTTACCCAAGTCTCTAAAGGTCGTTCTTATGTTGGCCAACCTGGCATATATCGCTGATGTTATCCTTTTGATGTGGGCTTCAGAGGACAGGTCTGGCATGATATCGACCCCCAGATCTTTCTCTCTGATACTAGAAGAATTTTATCTCCCAAATGATACCTTGTATCTGGCCTCCTGCTCCCTACACATATTTTCATTACATTACATTTGCTCGGGTTAAACTCAAACAACCATTTGTTTGACCATTCCTTCAGTTTGTCCAGGTCTTCTTGAAGCCTCATGCCATCCTCCTGTCTTAATCCTTCTCATAATTATGGCATCAGCAAACATTGAGCGGAATGAGTCTATACCCTCTGGGAGATCATTTACGTATATCAGAAACAGGATAGGTCCGAGTACAGAACCCTGTGGGACTCCGCTTGTGACTTCACGCCAATCTGAGGTCTCACCCCTCACTGTAACTCTCTGCTTCCTATTGCTTAGGTACTCCCTTATCCACTGGAGCACCCTACCAGTTACTCCTGCCTGTTTCTCCAACTTATGCACCAGCTTCTTATGGGGTACTGTGTCAAAGGCTTTCCGACAGTCCAAGAAAATGCAGTCTGCCCAACCTTCTCTTTCTTGCTTAATCTTTGTCACCTGATCGTAGAATTCTATTAAACCTGTGAGGCAAGATTTACCCTCCCTGAACCCATGTTGGTGGTGTGTCACGAAGTCCCTTCTCTCCAGATGTGTTACTAGGTTTTTTCTCTCGATCTTCTCCATCACCTTGCATGGTATACAAGTTAAGGACACTGGCCTGTAGTTCAGTGCCTCTTGTCTGTCACCCTTTTTGTATATTGGGACTACATTAGCCGTCTTCCATATTTCTGGTAGGTCTCCCGTCTCCAGTGACCTACTATACACTATGGAGAGTGGCAAGCAAAGTACTTCTGCACACTCTTTCAATACCCATGGTGAGATTCCGTCTTGACCAACAGCCTTTCGTACGTCCAGATCTAACAGATGCCTCTTTACCTCGTCCCTGGTAATTTCGAACCCTTCCAAGGCCTCCTGGTTTACTGCCACCTCTCCTAGCTCAAGGACTTCATCTCGTTCTGTTGTTAAGACCTCCTGGAATCTCTTGTTGAGTTCTTCACACATCTCTTTGTCATTCTCTGTGTAACTGTCCTCAACTGTTTTTAAGTTTCATCACCTGTTCTTTCACAGTTGTTTTCATCCTGATGTCTTTCACAGTTGTTTTCGTCCTGATGTGACTGTGGAGTAACTTTGGTTCGGTCTTGGCTTTGTTTGCTATATCATTTTCATACTGTCTCTCTGGTTCTCTTCTCACACTAACATACTCATTCCTGGATCTCTGGTATCTCTATCTACTTTCTGCTGTTCTGTTATTTCGGAAGTTCCTCCACGCCCTTTTGTTCCTTTCCTTTGCTTCCACAGTAGTAGTAGTAGGCATCCATCAGTCTCAGGAGTCTTCCATACATGCCCTATTAAACCATGGATTCTTCTTTTGCTTCTTATTTTTTTCCTTTTGGGCTGGGATAAACCTGTTTACAGCCTCCTGACACTTTTGGGTGACATAGTCCATCATGTCTTGTACGGTCTTTGTTCTGAGTCCCATGGTATTTCTCTTAGAAATGTTCTCATCTCATAATTTCCCTTTCGATATACCTGCCCCTTGTTTTGTAGTTCTTTTTGGGGGTTAGATTGCTCCTAGCTCTACCAGGTACTTTAATATCAGTACACTGTGATCACTTACTCCCAAGGGGGCTTCCAACTTAACTTCCCTTATATCCGACTCATTTAGGGTAAATATCAGATCAAGCAAGGCTGGTTCATCTTCTCTCATTCTTGTCGGTCCCTTGACGTTTTGGCTTAGAAAGTTTCTTGTTGCCACGTCCAGCAGCTTAGCTCTCCATGTGTCTTGTCCTCAATGCGGGTCTCTGTTCTCCCAATCTATCTTCCCATGGTTGAAGTCTCTCATGATTAGTCTACCATTAAGTCTCCCAGCTCCCAGAAGCTGCTCTCTCTCTCTTATATTAATGGTGACCATGTTGTTATTATCATATTCCTGTCTTGGCCTTCTGTCATTTGGTTGGGGCTTATATATGACTACTACTGTAAGTTTTTGTCCTCCAATTTCTATGGTACCTGTTATGTAGTCACTGAAACCTTCACAACCCTGGATAACAAGCTCCTCAAAATGTCATTATCTTTTTATCAGCAGAGCTGCTCCACTCTACCTGTTCCTTTCCTCTCTTTCCTTACGACATAGTATTCCTGCAGAAACACTACATTTGTTTTGGTTTTCGTTAGCTTTGTTTCTGTGAGTGCTATTATGTCTGGGTTTCCATCTCGGTCCCATTCTCCAAGTTCACTGGATTTGTTTGTAATCCCATCTATATTTGTATACATTGCCTTGAAGCTCACTTTTTCCTGGCCATTCTTGTTTCCTCTTCTTGGTGGTCTTTCTGCTGATGGAGGAAGCTGTGATGGGTCATTGTGTGATGGTCAGTGTTGAGGTCGTCCTCCACCTGCGTGTTGGTCAGTGTTGAGGTCGTCCTCCACCTGTGTGTTGGTCAGTGTTGAGGTCGTCCTCCACCTGTGTGTTGGTCAGTGTTGAGGTCGTCCTCCACCTGCGTGCCACCTACCAGCCCTCGTCCTCCACCTGCGTGCCACCTACCAGCCCTCGTCCTCCACCTGCGTGCCACCTACCAGCCCTCGTCCTCCACCTGCGTGCCACCTACCAGCCGTCGTTCTCCACCTGCGTGCCACCTACCAGCCGTCGTCCTCCACCTGCGTGCCACCTACCAGCCGTCGTCCTCCACCTGCGTGCCACCTACCAGCCGTCGTCCTCCACCTGCGTGCCACCTACCAGCCGTCGTCCTCCACCTGCGTGCCACCTACCAGCCCTCGTCCTCCACCTGCGTGCCACCTACCAGCCCTCGTCCTCCACCTGCGTGCCACCTACCAGCCGTCGTCCTCCACCTGCGTGCCACCTACCAGCCGTCGTCCTCCACCTGCGTGCCACCTACCAGCCCTCGTCCTCCACCTGCGTGCCACCTACCAGCCCTCGTCCTCCACCTGCGTGCCACCTACCAGCCGTCGTCCTCCGCCTGCGTGCCACCTACCAGCCCTCGTCCTCCACCTGCGTGCCACCTACCAGCCCTCGTCCTCCACCTGCGTGCCACCTACCAGCCCTCGTCCTCCACCTGCGTGCCACCTACCAGCCCTCGTCCTCCACCTGCGTGCCACCTACCAGCCCTCGTCCTCCACCTGCGTGCCACCTACCAGCCGTCGTCCTCCACCTGCGTGCCACCTACCAGCCCTCGTCCTCCACCTGCGTTCCACCTACCAGCCCTCGTCCTCCACCTGCGTGCCACCTACCAGCCGTCGTCCTCCACCTGCGTGCCACCTACCAGCCGTCGTCCTCCACCTGCGTGCCACCTACCAGCCCTCGTCCTCCACCTGCGTGCCACCTACCAGCCCTCGTCCTCCACCTGCGTGCCACCTACCAGCCCTCGTCCTCCACCTGCGTGCCACCTACCAGCCGTCGTCCTCCGCCTGCGTGCCACCTACCAGCCCTCGTCCTCCACCTGCGTGCCACCTACCAGCCCTCGTCCTCCACCTGCGTGCCACCTACCAGCCCTCGTCCTCCACCTGCGTGCCACCTACCAGCCCTCGTCCTCCACCTGCGTGCCACCTACCAGCCCTCGTCCTCCACCTGCGTGCCACCTACCAGCCCTCGTCCTCCACCTGCGTGCCACCTACCAGCCGTCGTCCTCCGCCTGCGTGCCACCTACCAGCCCTCGTCCTCCACCTGCGTGCCACCTACCAGCCCTCGTCCTCCACCTGCGTGCCACCTACCAGCCCTCGTCCTCCACCTGCGTGCCACCTACCAGCCCTCGTCCTCCACCTGCGTGCCACCTACCAGCCCTCGTCCTCCACCTGCGTGCCACCTACCAGCCGTCGTCCTCCGCCTGCGTGCCACCTACCAGCCCTCGTCCTCCACCTGCGTGCCACCTACCAGCCCTCGTCCTCCACCTGCGTGCCACCTACCAGCCCTCGTCCTCCACCTGCGTGCCACCTACCAGCCCTCGTCCTCCACCTGCGTGCCACCTACCAGCCCTCGTCCTCCACCTGCGTGCCACCTACCAGCCGTCGTCCTCCGCCTGCGTGCCACCTACCAGCCCTCGTCCTCCACCTGCGTGCCACCTACCAGCCCTCGTCCTCCACCTGCGTGCCACCTACCAGCCCTCGTCCTCCACCTGCGTGCCACCTACCAGCCCTCGTCCTCCACCTGCGTGCCACCTACCAGCCGTCGTCCTCCGCCTCAGTGCAGCGTCACCAGCACACAGTGTGAGGACTGAGACTCTTCCCTCAGGAAGATGCCTCAGTACAGCGTCACCAGCACACATTGTGAGGACTGAGACTCTTCCCTCAGGAAGATGCCTCAGTACAGCGTCACCAGCACACATTGTGAGGACTGAGACTGTTCCCTCAGGAAGATGCCTCAGTACAGCGTCACCAGCACACATTGTGAGGACTGAGACTCTTCCCTCAGGAAGATGCCTCAGTACAGCGTCACCAGCACACATTGTGAGGACTGAGACTGTTCCCTCAGGAAGATGCCTCAGTACAGCGTCACCAGCACACATTGTGAGGACTGAGACTCTTCCCTCAGGAAGATCGTTCACATGTATCAGTAACATGTTTGGGAGGCCACCATATAATGCCTGTTCTCGGGACCGGAAGCCTGTGTATATATGTATACTTTAGGCTTGTACCGAAGGCCTCTCACGGTCGAACTACTGACACCCCCCCCCCATACAACTCCATAACAGCTGTCTAACTTCTGGATAACTGTTAAACTGCAAGGTGAACAGAGGCATCAAGTGAAAGGACAGTGCCCAGTCGTTTCCGTCCCGTCCGGGGATTGAACCCGGGTGCCTTGGTTGTGAGCTGATGACGTAGACAGCGCCAGTATCTTCGTAAATCATATCCTCGTGAGACAGTTGGCTTCATTCGCGACCCACAAGCCAGGATCCCGAGTTCGATTCCCAAGCACAATATTGTTCACCTAGCAATAAATAGGAACCCAGAAGTTAGAGAACTGCTGAGGGGTACCTCCTGATTTTACCTGAGAGCCACTATCTCTCTAGTGTTCCCAAGGAGGACAGGAAGCCTGCGGCTTGTCTAAGGTTCCCCCATTTGCCGTGATGATTTTGTCGAGCTGGACATTGAAAGTTCAACAGTTTTTTGTCATTTAGGGCTTCTGCGGGTAGGCGGTTCCATGGGATTATGACCCCGTGGGTGAAGAAGCTGCTCCTGTTCTCAGTCCAACATTGTGGCTTGTTGAGCTTGGAACCGTTGCTCCTTGTTTGTGTTACATCTGACCTTTTGAAGAAGTTGTCAGGATCAACATCCTCCAAATTGTTCAATATTTTGAACATTTCACTGAGATCCGCCCTGTCATGTCTGGCTTATGTTGTTAGCCCTGTGACCCTCAACCGTTCCTGGTATGAGAGTTGACTTAGCTCTGGAACTATTTCTGTTGCTCGGTGTTGCACGTTCTCCAGAGCAGCTGTGTTCTTCTGAAGATGTTCTCCGTGCTTGGATGCAGTAATCCGAGTCAGCACCAGAGATTTATACAGTTGAATCTTCTATCTTCTTTTCCTTAAAGTCAAAGGAACACTTGATTATTCCCAGGGTTTGATTAGCTTTTTTTTACTGTTGCTGCCACTTGTTGTGCAACTTTTAGTGAATGATGGACTCTGACTCCACGGTCCTTTCCTTCCACAATTTGTTGTAATGTAATGTTATTAATTTGGTAGTTGTGGCGTGGCTTGTTATGCCCCGCGTGAAGGGTCTTGCATGTGTCGATATGCATTTTTCCGTCTTCTGGCCATTTGTGGAGATTATGTAGACCTCTTTGTAAGCCTTCAACATCATTTTGACTTCGCACTTTACAATAAATCTTATTGTCATCTGCAGAGTTAATGATGCGGTTTATAGTATTCTCACATATGTCATTGATGTACATATAAGGGTTGGCCCCAAAATGAACCCCTGTGGTACCCCACTCACCCCATTTCTCCAGTCAGACTTATTTCCGTTAAGGACGACCCATTTGTTTTAACCATTGTTTTATCCATTCTATTATTATACCATTTATCCCATGTGCCTGTAATTTTCTGTGATGACATCACATTGACATTTGCATATTTCCTGTCTAGGATGAACAATACCTTGTTCCTTGTTTTAACAAGAATTTTGTTAAAAAGTAGTTTCTGTGATAAGCATATTTCATCTGCCAGTTCCTTAATGACTTCGGATACAATGCCATCCACACCTGAGGCTTTTGAGTCTTTCAGTTTATCAATGTTCTTGGTGATTATGTCGCGCATTATGGGTATATCCCAAGTGGTTGGGCACCATTCCTTTCCCCAGTCCCATCCCAAATCCTTATCCTGATCCCTTCTAAGTGCTTTAATCCACCTGGACTCAGGTGGAAACTTAGTACCCAGATGAGCCACAGAGACGTTAGAAAGAATTTTTTCAGTGTCAGAGTAGTTAATAAATGGAATGCATTATGCAGTGATGTGGTGGAGGCTGACTCCATACACTGTTTCAAATGTAGATATGATAGAGCCCAATAGGCTCAGGAACCTGTACACCTGTTGATTGACAGTTGAGAGGCGGGACCAAAGAGCCAAAGCTCAACCCCCGCAAGCACAATTAGGTAAGTACAATTAGGTGAGTAGTCATAATGTCTTGGTTGCTTTTCCCTGATAGTTCCCTCCCTACCCCATATTTTCAGGGTCGTGGAGGATGGTCAGCAGTTAGACGTTGTGGGGACCTCGATACAAGCATAAAGTGTATATATACACACAACCTTCCTGTCCCCGACAAAACCAATTACTATATATGACTAACTATTAATGATTGTCTGATTGTTTAGCGGGACCTCAACACCACATCCTCCAGAGACACACTTGGACCCGCTATACACTTACAAGATATATTATGTGTAATAATATTTACCTTCATGACGTAGTGGAGCCTTAATTAAGGTATTGTACTCGGGCCATTGTGAGCTGTTCCGGTGTGTGTCCATTCACTCGTCTCGTAGCTCTGTGAGTACCATCTTTGTTTCTCACTCTCACAACGGCTTTAACGACACGATTTGTGCTCGCTCTCACAAGACCTTTAACTAGACGCTCGTTACTCGCTCTCACAAGGGCTCTAACGATACCATCGCTGCTTGTTCTATATCGCGTACAGGAAAACATGTGTAAACTACCTCACAAGAGTTGCCCCCGAGCGACGGCCATGCTTACGTGTAACGTTTTCTCTTATAAATAAGATGTTCAGAAAACGTGCACCAGGAGTCGGTTTAGTGGGTGACTTTAATAAAAGTTCAAGATACCTAACCCGCCCACTTTTGCAGTCATAAATTTAAATTTACCTGAATTTATCTGAGGTCCACCATACCTCTAGTGACTTCGACGAAGATACGAAGCTTTCGGCTTGTCAAAGGTTCCCATATTGGCCTGATGATTTTACTGAGCAAAATTTTTAAATTTAACTCAGTATTTTTTTTAGTTATATATATATATATATATATATATATATATATATATATATATATATATATATATATATATATATATATATATATATATATATATATATATATATATATATATATATATATATATATATATATATATATATATATATATATATATATATATATATATATATATATATATATATATATAAAATTATTGATTTTATTTACGGGTTCGGCGGGTAGGTGGTTCCTTGTGTTTATAATTCTGGGTGGAAAAACATTCCTATTATCTGTGTTAGAGTGTGGCTCGTTGAGCTAGGAACCGTTGTTCCTTGCTTGTGTTGATCTGACCTTATGAAGCACACTGCTATAGTGGCTTTACAAGAATGTAAAATACTCATCATTACTATGTACTGTCTTAACCACCAATGTACCTTCTTGTATATAAGTAAATCAATAAAAAAGAAGTTGTCTTGATCAACATCCTCCAATTTATTCAATACAGCTTAATAAATTAATTATAATTCATTGTGTCGGAGCAGAGGCCTCCAGTTTATACATTAGACTACATTTTGTATTCAGGTAAAGGTACATACCTTGAAGGTGAGTTACAAACATAATGTTGGAATTTAAAGATAGAGCGAGTACATACAATACCTGAAGCCACATACAGTGGCTTCAGGTAACCACTGGTAGCGACCACTGACTAGGGGCCTGGTAGCCTGGTGGATAGTGCGCAGGCCTCGTAATTCTGTGGCTCGGAAAAAGTAGTTAGTAAAGAGTTGATTGACAGTTGAGAGGCGGGCCGAAAGAACAAAGCTCAACCCCCGCAAGCATAACTAGGTGAATACTGTACCTTGAATTTGCTCTGTACCTAGGGTTACCCAATCTCCTAATTTTTATGTATTTAACCCAAACAACCTTATCATTGTGTTCATTGCTGTCTTCTTTTATGTGCTAGCCATATGCTGTATTGTGACTACCAATTTCTGTCAACTACCATTCAAGCTGTCATTGCAATCCATCTTAGCTACCTATGTGCTTTAATATACTCTACCTACAATTTTCTCTCATCTTTTTTTTTTCTTGCCATGTAACTGCTATCATTTTTTTTATAAATTTTGCAAGTATTTACCTACTTAAAATGTTCTTAGATTAAGGACCTGCCCGAAACGCTGCGCGTGCTAGTGGTTTTACAAGACTGTAATTACCATGCTATGTATCCTCACATTCACAATGTTCCTTCTTGTATATGCATAAATAAATAGATAAATAAAATAAATAAATACTCTACATGTTATAGACTAATATTAAGGGCCACCAGACCGAATTACAGACCCCCCCCCCAGGATACAACCCCACATCAAGAGTACTAACTTGAGTACCTATTTACTGCTGGGTGGACAGGAGCATTAGGTGGTAGGAAATGCACCCAACCATTTCTGTCCCGTACGGGAGTCGAACCCGGAATTCGAGATTATACAGCTTTTCCTCGCATACAAAGATCCAAGGTTGTTAATCCAGCCGCCAAACCCCCTGTTAATCAACCTGTCCCCGACTCAAGTCCATTCCATCCAGCGGTCGACCCCACAGACGCATTCATAAATTTTTACATGATATTCATACAAAACAGGTATTTTCTCAAATATAAATAAATATTAAAATATATTAGCATATTGTGCATATATAGGCATAGGTTAGGTTAGGTGTTTAGGTTCTGTTGACGATTATTTGTATTTGTAGTACGTGGGTGAAGCATTTACAGCGTTGTGGTTCGAACAAAATTCGTCAGTG